AGGACGGGACATTCTGGGTAGTCTGTCTCTCTCTGATATGAAGGACGGGACATTCTGGGTAGTCTGTCTCTCTCTCTGATATGAAGGACGGGACATTCTGGGTAGTCTGTCTCTCTCTCTGATATGAAGGACGGGACATTCTGGGTAGTCTGTCTCTCTCTGTTATGAAGGATGGGACATTCTGGGTAGTCTGTCTGTCTCTCTCTGATATGAAGGACGGGACATTCTGGGTAGTCTGTCTCTCTCTCTGATATGAAGGACGGGACATTCTGGGGTCTGTCTGTCTCTCTCTGATATGAAGGACGGGACATTCTGGGTAGTCTGTCTCTCTCTGATATGAAGGAGGGACATTCTGGGTAGTCTGTCTCTCTCTGATATGAAGGACGGGACATTCTGGGTAGTCTGTCTCTCTCTCTGATATGAAGGACGGGACATTCTGGGTAGTCTGTCTCTCTCTCTGATATGAAGGACGGGACATTCTGGGTCGTCTGTCTCTCTCTCTCTCTGATATGAAGGACGGGACATTCTGGGGTAGTCTGTCTCTCTCTCTGATATGAAGGACGGGACATTCTGGGTAGTCTGTCTCTCTCTCTGATATGAAGGATGGGACATTCTGGGTAGTCTGTCTCTCTCTGATATGAAGGACGGGACATTCTGGGTAGTCTCTCTCTCTCTGATATGAAGGACGGGACATTCTGGGTAGTCTGTCTCTCTCTGATATGAAGGACGGGACATTCTGGGTAGTCTGTCTCTCTCTCTGATATGAAGGACGGGACATTCTGGGTAGTCTGTCTCTCTCTGATATGAAGGACGGGACATTCTGGGTAGTCTGTCTCTCTCTCTGATATGAAGGACGGGACATTCTGGGTAGTCTGTCTCTCTCTGATATGAAGGACGGGACATTCTGGGTAGTCTGTCTCTCTCTCTGATATGAAGGACGGGACATTCTGGGTAGTCTGTCTCTCTCTGATATGAAGGACGGGACATTCTGGGTAGTCTGTCTCTCTCTCTGATATGAAGGACGGGACATTCTGGGTAGTCTGTCTCTCTCTCTGATATGAAGGATGGGACATTCTGGGGGTCTGTCTGTCTCTCTCTGATATGAAGGACGGGACATTCTGGGTAGTCTGTCTCTCTCTGATATGAAGGACGGGACATTCTGGGTAGTCTGTCTCTCTCTCTGATATGAAGGACGGGACATTCTGGGTAGTCTGTCTCTCTCTCTGATATGAAGGACGGGACATTCTCTGGGTAGTCTGTCTCTCTCTGATATGAAGGACGGGACATTCTGGGTAGTCTGTCTCTCTCTCTGATATGAAGGACGGGACATTCTGGGTAGTCTGTCTCTCTCTCTGATATGAAGGACGGGACATTCTGGGTAGTCTGTCTCTCTCTGATATGAAGGACGGGACATTCTGGGTAGTCTGTCTCTCTCTGATATGAAGGACGGGACATTCTGGGTAGTCTGTCTCTCTCTGATATGAAGGACGGGACATTCTGGGTAGTCTGTCTCTCTCTCTCTGATATGAAGGACGGGACATTCTGGGTAGTCTGTCTGTCTCTCTCTGATATGAAGGACGGGACATTCTGGGTAGTCTGTCTCTCTCTGATATGAAGGACGGGACATTCTGGGTAGTCTGTCTCTCTCTCTGATATGAAGGACGGGACATTCTGGGTAGTCTGTCTCTCTCTCTGATATGAAGGACGGGACATTCTGGGTAGTCGTCTGTCTCTCTCTGATATGAAGGACGGGACATTCTGGGTAGTCTGTCTCTCTCTGATATGAAGGACGGGACATTCTGGGTAGTCTGTCTCTCTCTCTGATATGAAGGACGGGACATTCTGGGTAGTCTGTCTCTCTCTCTGATATGAAGGACGGGACATTCTGGGTAGTCTGTCTCTCTCTCTGATATGAAGGACGGGACATTCTGGGTAGTCTGTCTCTCTCTGATATGAAGGACGGGACATTCTGGGTAGTCTGTCTCTCTCTGATATGAAGGACGGGACATTCTGGGTAGTCTGTCTCTCTCTCTGATATGAAGGACGGGACATTCTGGGTAGTCTGTCTCTCTCTGATATGAAGGACGGGACATTCTGGGTAGTCTGTCTCTCTCTCTGATATGAAGGACGGGACATTCTGGGTAGTCTGTCTCTCTCTGATATGAAGGACGGGACATTCTGGGTAGTCTGTCTCTCTCTCTGATATGAAGGACGGGACATTCTGGGTAGTCTGTCTCTCTCTGATATGAAGGACGGGACATTCTGGGTAGTCTGTCTCTCTCTCTGATATGAAGGACGGGACTCTGTTTTATTCTGTATCCTTTGTTCATCTATCTCTGTGTCTTTGATATGAAGGACGGGATTCTGGGTAGTCTGTCTCTCTCTCTGATATATTTGGACGGGACATTCTGGTTACATAAGAGTCTGTCTCTCTCTGATATGAAGGACGGGACATTCTGGGTAGTCTGTCTCTCTCTCTGATATGAAGGACGGGACATTGGGTAGTCTGTCTCTCTCTCTGATATGAAGGACGGGACATTCTGGGTAGTCTGTCTCTCTCTCTGATATGAAGGCCGGACATTCTGGGTAGTCTGTTCTCTCTTGATATGAAGGATGGACATTCATTGGGTAGTCTGTCTCTCTCTCTGATATGAAGGACGGGACATTCTGGGTAGTCTGTCTCATCTCTCTGATATGAAGGACGGGACATTCTGGGTAGTCTGTCTCTCTCACTAATATGAAGGGGACATTCTGGGTAGTCTGTCTCTCTCTCTGATATGGAGGGGAAGGACACTTCTGGGTAGTCGTCTCTCCTCTGAAGGTCATTCTGGGCCCTCTGTCTCGCTCCCAGCGAAGGCGACATCACGCTGGGTATGCGGGACATTCTGGGTAGTCTGCTCTATCTGCAGAAGACTGTATATGTTAGGAAGGGAGGGCCGTGGGAGGGCCACATACACTCTCTCTGATATGAAGGACGGGACATTCTGGGTAGTTAAACCTCTCGTTAAATTGAAGGACGGGACTTCTGGACATAGTCCTCTGTAAGGTAATACAATGCAGGAATGGGTATTAGGGGACATTTCTCGGGGCTGCAGTTCCTCTGATCTCCACAAGATATGAATCGGGGACTATTAACCAGACAGGACTTCTCTAGAATGAACACGGGACGGTTTTTTCAACCACTGTGAAACGGGACACTAGTGCCGTAGATATTCTCAGGTGTGATATGTGGGGGACATTGGGTAGTTCATCTGTGAACATGTGGCTTCGGCTCACAAATAGACCAATCATTAGGAATCTAATGATTCATGGTCGGCAAGTAGGCTGCTCCTCATGAGACTCTTTACCCAGTCTAATGGGCTCTTCTGTGTGCAGTAACCCCCCCGTCATGCTCTGCTCCCCTCCCTCCTCTCGGTCGGTCCTCCCTCCCCTGTCATGTCCTCTCGGTTTATCTCCCCAGGTTGGTCCGCGCGGACCTTTTAATCCGGCTTGCGGATGTGGCTGTCAGGATGTGTGTAGGGGGGCAGCGTACAGGAATCGTGAGGGGGAGGGGATCTAGGCTCCTCTCACAGTCCGACATTGAAGAGGAAGGCGCGGGAAGACAGCAGAGAGGGACAAAGGTAAGTGAATTGACACGGGGGACTTGGCTTACTAGAAGGGGGGGGGGGGGAAAGTACTGTGTCAGGATGAAATCAGACTATATGATGATGATACTTTATGAGGGACCCATACATATGAGGGTGATGAAATCTATATGGGGGGATGAATCCACATTCAGGGGAAAGTACTATAGAGGGATGAAATACTATATGGGGGGATGAAATACTCTGTATGGGGGGATGAAATCACATATGAGGGATGACCTCTCCTACATATATGGGGGGATCAAAATACTATATGAGAGATGTCCCTACCTACTATATGGGGGATGAATTACTATATGAGGGAGGAATTACTGTATGAGGGATGAAATACTCTATATGGGGGGATGAAATACTTATGAGGGATGAAATATCTCTCTATATGAGGGGATGAAATACACCATGGGAGGGATGAAATACATATGGGGGACGGAAACACTTGTTATGAGGGATGAAATACTGTCATTTTTATTATATATAGAGGGAATACTATATGGGGGGATGAAATAGTCATGGGGGATCCTCTTACATAGGGGGGGGATGAAATACTTTATAGGAGGAGGATTACATGGGGGATCAGAGCTTCTACTATATGAACAGGATGAATTACATATGGACAGGACAATTACTGGATGTCTTACTATGGGGGATATTACAGGGAACTTACAGAGGATGTCCCCGTCCATCATTCATCTATCTCATTGGTCCGGCACCCCGGGTCCAATTAAAAATCACTTTATTATTTCATAATAGACAGTACAGAAGATCACAAATAGCGCATTTCTTTGTGTTTGATTCCTATTCAGAGTACAATTACTTTAAGGAGACAATAGTCAATACAGTACACAGATGGAGGGCCCTGATTTTTTTAACATTACAATCTAATGGTGGTGTCCTCGTGATCTACAAGGAAGTTTTCATAAAAATGGAGTGCCTTTGCACAAAAGGAGGACCTGCTCTAGAATACAGACAGGAAGTGATGTCAGGAACAGACAGGAAGAGATGTGAATTTTCAGGGTGTGAATAAAGACAGGACCAGTGATGTCAGCAACAGACAGGAAGTGATGTCAGGAACAGATAGGAAGTGATGTGGGGGAAGACATAAAGGCTGTGCCATGTGGTGTGGGGAGATCGGAGACATTGCAGGAAGTAGCAGCAGAGGAGCTAATAAGATGTTGGAGTTCTATTTATACCCAGTAACCCCCCCGTCATGTCTGTCCTCTTCCTCTATGTATCTGTCCGGTGATTCCTCCATAGTCATGTGTCTGTCTTCTTCCTCCATAGTCATCTGTGATGTCTTTTATCTCCAGCAGATTATACACATCAATATTTAGAAGGGTGACAAGTGGACACAAGGACCTCTACAAGGACGTCATGATGGGGGACCACCAGAGAGGACACAAGGACCTCTACAAGGAGTGGTCATGATGGAGGACCACCAGAGAGGATCGGCTGTTACAAGGACCTCTACAAGGATGGGTCATGATGGAGGACCACCAGAGAGGACAGTACAAGGACCTCTACAAGGACGTCATGATGGATTGGGACCACCAGAGAGGACACAGAGGGGGGGACCTCTACAAGGACTGTCATGATGGGGACCACCAGAGAGGATGACAGGGGACCTCTACAAGGACGTGGTGGGATGGACAATCAGCCGCCCCTCACATCACCGGGTAAGAGGAGACTTTATTGTAAAGGAGAGAGCAGTACGGAGGATCCACCTAGATCCCCCATCATCTGGACACATGGGAAACAATGGATTCAGTCAGTGTGGGTGTTTCCTACAGATGGATCCAGTCATGGGAACCCACCAGAGAGATGACAGGGTCCTCTGGTATTCCGGGATTCCACACAGGAAGGTCACACCATGACAGTCCAGATCACACCATCATCAGGTGGGTGGCCAGTGGAGGGAACCCACAGAGAGATGTCCCCGTCCTCTGGATTCCAGTGGATTCCACACAGGGGGGGTCACACCATCCCTGGAGGGAATCATCAGTAGGGATGAGGAACAATCACTGATAGGGTATCATTAGGGTCTGTACATTGGTGGGGCATTGAGTACCGGTGATGTCATTGGAGTATTAGGGATGGCCGGTGAGTGTGAGGTAGGCCTGGGGTGATCCGGGATGGCCGGTGGTTAAAGGAGAGATAAAAGAGGAGGGATGGATGGGTGGGGGGATGGAGGGCAGAGTTGGTGCGGGAGGCCACAAAGATGGCTGTACCAGGACACCATGGCCGGTGGAGCGGGAGGGCCGGTGCTACAGGAAGGCCGAGAGATGAGGTCCTCTGTTGCAGTAGATTCCACACAGGAAGGTCACACCATGAGATGATAATGGGGTAGATGATGACAATTATTGGTAGGTGGGATTTATACTCGGCATGTTTGTTACAATGAATGTTTTATTATATCTCTCAGAGTGGAATCCTCGGGGATGAGAATATTGATGGTAAAGAAGAGTATAAAGAGGAGGATGAGGAGGATGGAGTGATGGAGGAGGAGTTTTCAGAAGGACACAAGGAGATGATGGAGCCACCTAATACCAGGAACCCACCAGAGAGATGTCCCCGTCCTCTGTATTCCCGGGATTCCACACAGGAAGGTCACACCATCCCTCACCATTGCAAGGTTGGTGGGATGGAGCATCTAGAACATGGATTCATACAGACAATGTGTGGAGTTTCTGTGACCTTCTATCTTCCAGATGATATTTCCTCTCCTTCTCTTGATGTAGAGTGGAGATCCAATCGATATAGAATTTGAGGTGAAAGCAGAAGAAGAAGAGGCGTATGTGAGGGATGATCAGCAGTCTATGGAGGAGGATGGAATAACGGGGACATTTATAGAGGAGGACACTCCTACAGAGATCAGCACAGGTGGGTCATGAACACCAAATCCATTCCTCCACCCATACTGCTCACTGATTGGTCCAGAGTAGGGGGGGGGCGGGGTGATATCAGCCTGTAATACATCAGAAGAAACAATGCCGTCCCGATTGATCCGGTAAACGTATCTGGATTATATCTGCGACTCACTTCAATAAAAGCGTGGATTGTAAACCTGAAATACTGGAACTCAGAAAAAATGGCGGCTGACTGGCGCATTACCGCCTACAAAGTGGTTCCTTCCATCCCATGCGGAGTCATGTGACCTACAAACGTTCAATGCCATGTTGTATGTATTAGATCACACGGGTCATAGAAAGGTTGTCATTCACATGGTGGACGTGCTGTAATCATAGAGGGGAGTGGAGGGGAGTGGAGGGAATGACAGAGGGGGGTGGAGGGACACTGAATGGAGGTCAGTGGAGGGGTTGGCAGAGAGGGGTGGAGGTCAGTGGAGGGGATTGACATTGGTAGAGAGGGGTGGAGGTCAGTGGAGGGAATGACAGAGAGGGGGGTGAGGGGTGGAGGACAGTGGAGAGATTGGCAGGGATTGGGAGTGGAGGGACACTGATGGAAGCCAGTGGAGGGATTGGCAGAGAGGGGTGGAGGTCAGTGGAGGGATTGGCAGAGAGGGGTGGAGGTCAGTGGAGGGATTGGCAGAGAGGGGTGGAGGGATTGGCCAGTGGGGTGGAGGCCAGTGGAGGGATTGGCAGAGGGGTGGAGGGATTGGCAGAGAGGGGTGGAGGGATTGGCAGAGGGGGGTGGAGGTCAGTGGAGGGATTGGCAGAGAGGGGCGGCAGTCCCACTGATTGGTTGGTAAGGTGGATTGGCAGAGATGAGTCTAGCAGCAGCATTCATAATAGACTGAAGGGGGTGTGGCCTGTGTGAGGTGTATGAGTAGACCAGTGAGGAGGGGAGTTGCAGTAATGGAGGGGGATATAACAAGGCGTGGATGAGTTTGTGGTGTCATTGGTCAGGAAGGGGGCGGAGTTTGGCGATGTTATGGGGGGTTGAGGCGGGGGTTGGGCGGCAGGATTTAGCCGGTGATTGGATGTGGGGGCCGGAAGGAGGGGTCAGAGTCTAGGGTGACGACGCCCCCCCCCAACATGAGGGGCTTATTAGAGGCTCAGTGCGCTTCCTAGGGGTGTATGAGACCTGCGTCCCGTATCACTGACCGTATACAACAACATATATATACTATATACCACCTAGAGCCCAAACATTTCCCTCACACTCGGGCTGCAGGCAGAACAACCAACGTTCCCGATTCCCATCTAAAGTCACTCAGCCAATCAGACTGTTACTGGCCACCGGAGGAAGTGAGCCGTGTCTCTGAAATCACCGAAAAGACTCCTTAGAACGGTTGCCTCGTCATATTCTAGATTGCCTCGTGCTCATCCAAGATGGAGCTGCATCTCATGCCTCTTCCCTCCTCGTGGATACCGCACCCTATGAAGACGCCGAGCGTGATGACGTCATATCCCGTTTCCCTGCATTCATCATTTTTCCATGATTTCATCCCTCGGAGGTAATAAATACAACATGGCATTGAAGGTTTGTAGGTCACATGACTCCGCATACATGGGATGGAATGAAGCACTTTGTAGGCGGTATAATGCGCCAGTCAGCCGCCATTTGTTCTGTGTTCAGCCTGTAATCCCGGGTCACTTCCCTGAGCTGTGTTCCCCGTCCTGTATTCCTGGATTTCTCTCCCATAATCTTCCTTCTCTGTTATCTGCTGGCTGTGCCGGGTGGAGGGATATGTCATGGAGTGTCTCAGCCCCCAAGTCACTGAGATGCATATCCCCAGTCTCAGGAGATGGGAGGCATGGAGTGTGGGGACCTACATAGTTACATAGTTAGTCTGGCTGATGAAAAAATCCATCCATCTAGTTGTACCATTAATAATAAAAGTTATAATCCGACACCCACAGCTGCTGATCCACCAGAAGGCAAAACCCAGCAAAGCACGATCCGATCTCCTCCTGCAGGGGAAACATTCCTCCCTGACCCCCCGAGAGGCAATCGGATATTCCCGGGATCATATTTTTCCCTATAAATGTTATATCCAGTTATATTCTGTGTATCCCAAGAAAGGATCCAGGATTATATCCCCCTTATGTATTATACATCAGAGATCATATCCCCCCCTTATGTATTATACATGGAGATCATCCCCCCCTTATGTATTATACATGGAGATCATCATATCCCCCCCCCCTTATGTATTATACATGGAGATCATACCCCCCCTTATGTATTATACATGAGAGTTCATATCCCCCCCCTTATGTATTATGTATTACATGGAGATCATATCCCCCCTTATGTATTTATACATGGAGATCATATCCCCCCCTTATGTATTATACATGGAGATCATATCCCCCCCCTTATGTATTATACATGGAGATCATATCCCCCCCTTATGTATTATACATGGAGATCATATCCCCCCCTTATGTATTATACATGGAGATCATATATCCCCCCTTATGTATTATATACATGGAGATCATATCCCCCCTTATGTATTATACATGGAGATCATATCCCCCCCTTATGTATTATACATGGAGATCATATCCCCCTTATGTATTATATACATGGAGATCATATCCCCCCCCCTTATGTATTATACATGGAGATCATATCCCCCCTTATGTATTATACATGGTGATCATATCCCCCCCCTTATGTATTATACATGGAGATCATATCCCCCCCCCCCCTTATGTATTATACATGGAGATCATATCCCCCCCTTATGTATTATACATGGAGATCATATCCCCCCCCTTATGTATTATACATGGAGATCATATCCCCCCTTATGTATTATACATGGAGATCATATCCCCCCCTTATGTATTATACATGGAGATCATTATCCCCCCTTATGTATTATACATGGAGATCATATCCCCCCCCCTTATGTATTATACATGGAGATCATCCCCCCCTTATGTATTATACATGGAGATCATATCCCCCCTTATGTATTATACATGGAGATTCATATCCCCCCCCTTATGTATTATACATGGAGATCATATCCCCCCCTTATGTATTATACATGGAGATCATATCCCCCCCTTATGTATTATACATGGAGATCATATCCCCCCTTATGTATTATACATGGAGATCATATCCCCCCCCCTTATGTATTATACATGGAGATCATATCCCCCCTTATGTATTTATACATGGATATCCCCCCCTTATGTATTATACATGGAGATCATATCCCCCCTTATGTATTATACATGGAGATCATATCCCCCCCCTTATGTATTATACATGGAGATCATCATATCCCCCCTTATGTATTATACATGGAGATCATATCCCCCCTTATGTATTATACATGGAGATCATATCCCCCCCCCTTATGTATTATACATGGAGATCATATCCCCCCCCTTATGTATTATACATGGAGATCATATCCCCCCTTATGTATTATACATGGAGATCATCCCCCCCTTATGTATTATACATGGAGATCATATCCCCCCCTTATGTATTATACATGGAGATCATATCCCCCCTTATGTATTATACATGGAGATCATCATATCCCCCCTTATGTATTATACATGGAGATCATATCCCCCCCTTATGTATTATACATGGAGATCATATCCCCCCTTATGTATTATACATGGAGATCATATCCCCCCCCTTATGTATTATACATGGAGATCATATCCCCCCTTATGTATTTATACATGGAGATCATATCCCCCCTTATGTATTATACATGGAGATCATATCCCCCCTTATGTATTATACATGGAGATCATATCCCCCCCTTATGTATTATACATGAGATCATATCCCCTTATGTATTATACATGGAGATCATATCCCCCCTTATGTATTATATACATGGAGATCATATCCCCCCCCTTATGTATTATACATGGATGGATATCCCCCCCATATCCCCCCCTCATATCCCCCCTTTTATTATACATGGAGATCATATCCCCCCTTATGTATTATACATGGAGATCATATCCCCCCTTATGTATTATACATGGAGATCATATATCCCCCCCCTTATGTATTATACATGGAGATCATATCCCCCCCTTATGTATTATACATGGAGATATCCCCCCTTATCCCCATGGAGATCATATCCCCCTTATGTATTATACATGGAGATCATATCCCCCCCTTATGTATTATACATGGAGATCATATCCCCCCTTATGTATTATACATGGAGATCATATCCCCCCCTTATGTATTATACATGGAGATCATATCCCCCCCCTTATGTATTATACATGGAGATCATATCCCCCCTTATGTATTATACATGGAGATCATATCCCCCCCCTTATGTATTATACATGGAGATCATATCCCCCCTTATGTATTATACATGGAGATCATATCCCCCCTTATGTATTATACATGGAGATCATATCCCCCCTTATGTATTATACATGGAGATCATATCCCCCCCCTTATGTATTATACATGGAGATCATATCCCCCCCTTATGTATTATACATGGAGATCATATCCCCCCTTATGTATTATACATGGAGATCATATCCCCCCTTATGTATTATACATGGAGATCATATCCCCCCTTATGTATTATTATACATGGAGATCATATCCCCCCCTTATGTATTATACATGGAGATCATATCCCCCCCCCCTTATGTATTATACATGGAGATCATATCCCCCCTTATGTATTATACATGGAGATCATATCCCCCCTTATGTATTATACATATGAGATCATATCCCCCTTATGTATTATACATGGAGATCATATCCCCCCCTTATGTATTATACATGGAGATCATATCCCCCCTTATGTATTATACATGGAGATCATATCCCCCCTTATGTATTATACATGGAGATCATATCCCCCCTTATGTATTATACATGGAGATCATATCCCCCCTTATGTATTATACATGGAGATCATATCCCCCCCCTTATGTATTATACAT